TACTTACCAATTATTTATAATTTATTTATATTTATTTATAATTTAAGTGATTTTTTGTAACTAATGACTTTTAAAATAATTTATTTAAATATAATATATTCACATTTATTTAACGTAATATACATTAAAAGAAATTTGAAATTGTAAACATGAAAACGTATTCTGTAATATTATTTTATATCAATAATAATCAATGATTAGAAATGAAACACTATTAGTAAATCTGTTTAGTTCAACTGGAAATAGGATCTTTACAATTATTATATGCATAGGATCATTACAACCATTTTATAGTCAGCTAAAATATCGACAATTAAGAAATGAGGCTAGAATTTAAATATATTTCACACTGCAAAATTAGTAAATTCAATAGAATATCTTTACGCAGAAATAGTAACAAATCTTATTGAATATTAATTTCAAAAATACAATATCCAGTTATTATAAATTTTTTTTCAGAAATCTTAAAAAATATTGGATAAGTGATTATAATAGTTGCAAATTCATGAATGCATTCATCTGCAAATTCACTGCAAACCGCTTATTGTTACAAACACATCTATGTAATCATTAGTAAACGTAACTGTGTACAAAAACTTATTTATTATTTCACATATTTATTTTATTTATCATTTTTGGTTATATCAATATCGTTTATTTAATATATATAAACAATTACATTATACTTTGTTATTAGTGGTGCTACTTTTTATAAAAAATTTAATGTTGATTAAATTCAACAAGCGAACACATTTTATGATTGGATAATCATTACTTATTATTAATATTTATTATTATTAATTTTCAATATAAAGAATATAAAGTATTGAGTAATATAAATTTTAAACCAAAAAAAAGAAATATTTAATACATCTCCAACAATAATATACAGTTTGAAGAACTTGGATAAATAAAATTAAATTAGAACGAATATCGTTATACTTTATTATAAATAAATATAAGAAATTGAATTTTATATATTAATAATAATATAATAATAATTATATTAATAATTACGGTTACAGTGTGTTTTTAAATTCTTCATTTTACGCATGACATTCTCTACCTATATAAGGAAGCAAGCGTGCCAGAAAAGAAAATGAAGAAAACCATAGGTAGCTTGAATATTATGAAGGGATATTTGGAAGAGTAATGTACGGATAACGTGCCTGTAATAATAAACATTCTGTAAAACTTTCATAGAGTAGTTCTTCCATTCATCCAAAAAAAGAAAAGTAATGAAAAAATTGGACACTATTCCTCCCAGCGACGACTTCAACATCTATTTATTATTCCTACAGCAATTCGACTCCTGCTTTACGTGCAGTCCGTCCTCATCCCCGCTTTACTGACACTTGCAGCGATACTGCGTCCGTACCTTCCTACCTTCTTTCCACTCACTGGACTCTTATTTTCGTTGAAAAGAGGCATTGTGCAGTAGAGCGCGGTTCTGTTATTATACCGTAAAAGGTAATAACACACTTGACACACGCAGATCTTGCCCGTTAATTTTTAATGTTCATTCATCTGGCGCTTTTTTCTTTTTGATTTTCCATTAACTTTGCTGGTAGAAGAACGAGAGAAGGGGACTGCCATCATTAGAGTGACGAGGATGACCCCTGGGATCTTTTAGTTCTTTTTCTCTTTTATCGCTCCACTTGTTTCCCATAACGCTATCACAAGGACGTGCATACAAGGTCAAGGATAACGCTCTTTTAAATACGCCACTCGCGTTTAAAATAAATACGAAACTTTATAAGTATTTCGAAGACATGAAGATTGTCGTTTTAAGGCTAAATTTATTATTTGCATAGGGTGACGTTACCACTTACGGATTATAAAATAGCGCCTTATAGGACATTTAAAAATCGACGTGATAGTCGGTTAATATTGACTATTGTAAAGAACTAAGTCGAAGAGTTTATATTTAATAGGTACATATTATTTAAAAATATTTATTATCTGTAGGATTGATGTACCTAAATAAGCATCTTGGCTAAAGTTAATTATTTACCATTAAAACTAATTAAAATATTTATGCTGATTGGGCTTATGCCGGACACTATCTCTAAAACAAGAATATATAGCAAATTAAACTATTATAAACTTAAATTATTAAGTAACCATTAAGCCAACTTTATACAATCAATATTACAACATTATGATTTAAATGCAGTTTAACTAATTAAAAAAAAATTTCTTGTTTAGTTTTTTTTTAATCCATAAGTTATTAAACTATGATAAAAAAATTTTGTTTAATAAATGCACGAAATGCATTTTATTCGACATGATTGAAAGACGGAATATGTATGTATGCATACACGATGGGCGTTGATGAACCTCAAATATGGAAAGGTTATTATATAGAGATATCCGTGCATATACGCATATGCGTATCATAAATCAGTGGGTATGTTTCAATCATCGTGTAATATTATGGACAAACGTCTCTTTATTTTATGCTTCCTGTTATAATCGCATGAATTGAATAATCCTTTTTCAATTTATGCTTTATTTATTTTATTACATCATTATTGTCGATTCCCACCTTTTATTTATAAAATTACACTATAATTATAAATAAGTAGGTCAATAATAAAGGCATTTACGTTGTTAAAAACGTTTTTAAATTAAAATTTTTAAAGATAAAAATGAAAAACAAATTTGAACTATCACTATTTAAAAACATTATTGTTTTTAATTTATAAAGTATATATAATCTATTTCATAACATTTGTTTTAATATTTCAGATTTCATTTGAACATTAAGTATCCAAATTCAACAAAAGATTATTGTAAATATTTCTAAATATTGATCGATAAAGAAATTTAGAAAAATATAAACTTATTATAAAATCTTATTATAAAATATTAAATTATAAATTTGTTGAAAAATATTTGCTTAAATTAAATTTTTATTACATCAAATAAATACGTAGTCATTATTTGACGTATATAAATTTATCTTTTGTATACTTTTAAATTTATTAAATATCGGTAATGAATTACATTATTTTACGAATTTCTTACTTTATATATGTACGTTAAGTAAAAAAAATAGACATATCAATACTAATTGAAAATAGTTTTATTATTACATTAGAATTATTATTCTATATTAGTTATAAGCAATAAGCGCATTAATAATTATATTACGTAATTTAATCTATTTGTTTTTAGTGTTTTATTTTTTATATTAGAACTCTACATTTATTTTATTATTTATTATGTTCATTAATAAAACAATGTATCAGTTTTTAATATCCACTACGTAAAATAGTAAGAATTGAATATTAGAATAGAAACAGAATATTCAATTTCGAAGAGATAATTCAATCTATACAAGTAGCTGCTCAGGTTTAGCGATCTGCTCGCTTCGTGAAGGCTATAACAGTTGCAAAGATAGATCACGATGTAGTTTGAATATAAATCGAGTGCAGAAAGCGAGTATTCGACGAGTGGCTTGGCTAAATGATAAGAACTAAACTCACGACTCTTATTAACAAATTACAAAAGCGTCAGAGAAAATGTTAATGACTAGAAGCAATCGATTTATCTTCGCGTACATTATAACTACGACTAGGATTCGTGTAGAAAAGCGCGTGCAGAGATATAAATAAGCACGCGAATAGCGGTGTGTCACCCGAGAAAATCAGCGATTTATCACGGTGCGGGATGAATAATCGATGAGGAGAGGAGAATAGAGCGAATAGAAGAGCAAAGAAGCGCCACGAGGGAAAAGTTACATTTGGATTTTGAATATTCTATTAGTGGTCGTCGGTCCGCTTGCCACAGCTCGACTTTTAACTTTCAGCCTAGACCTTCAGCAACACGGTGCCGATCGTAAATCAACCAATGGACGAGCACACGTGCGGAGCGCAAATCGCCGCGACCGCATCTCGTGGGATATCCTGGGGGATTCTTTATCCGGAACAGCATATACGAGCGCGAAGCAGAGGAAAAGCTTTAGTCGCCGATACGAATAGCCGATGAGGCGCGCAATGAGCCGCGATGATGAAACCGGAAGTCATGCCGACGACCTACCGATAATAGCTTCTCTTCAGCTCTCCAATTTACTCAATCGAGCTACATACCTTTTTTAATACAGTGCACTTTTCTGTTGACACATTTTTAACCGCCCGCCGCGTTTATCTGATGGAAAATTTCTCCTGCATCTCCTTCTTTCTCATCCCCATTTCTTGTAAACTATATTTTCCTTTATTTATAGATAAAATGAAAAAGTCATAGGTCATGGCATTAAAAAGAAAGTGTACAATGAGGATGTATCATTATATCGTGATTAATAGCATCTTCTTTTCGATGTTATTTCTTCTATTGTAAGCTTTTATATCTGTAAATGAATGTTTATTGATTTTCCACTAATGTGCAGTATATGCAAGTCAATTACATGCCTTTAATACAGTCTAGTGAAAATTGATTGTTAAATAATATGTGAAAGCTTTTTAGGTAGTCAGCGCAGTGTTATTTTCCATTTCACTGGTAAATTCAGAATAACAGGGACATTGCTGATTTTTATCGAATGTTGAGTTTCTCCGTCGTATGGTTGAACGCAAGTTACGACGTTATTTATAGATTTAATGAGGAACGATGTTGTACTATATTGCACGGTTAAGAAAACCATTGATCGACCATAAAGCTAACTCCTAATTAACTTATATAAATTATAATTAATTATTACCTATTACAAATTAAGTTTCGAGTACGTATTCGCGATAGATTTTATTTTAATTTTAATATATATATATATATATATATATTAAAAT